TTAATAAAAAATGAAGGGAAGCTATGCTAAGGTTAACTAGCCCATAGCATATATCTTGCTGTCTGCAAAAGACAGTAATTTAGACGTACCAAATAACTCCCATAAGTGCATACTATTCGACACAACTGCAAAAGCATCGTTTTAACCTTTATAAACGAACGTTAACGTTACTCTGTCAACAGACTATTGTCTAAATTACCGCGCTAACAGAGCTAACGTTGCGTAAACAGATCACCCGGTTGCAGACGTCAATAATGCAGTGTAATAGAATATCCCGATTAAACTTTGCTACAAGTTTATAAACTGCCTTTGGAACCCAATTAAGGTACAAAAATCTATTTAACAAAAATAGTAATGCAGTGAAGTATTTTTTTCGCTCAGCCGAGCCTTCTGTCTGTTGCTGTGGAGAAGCTTGTGCCAGACACCCTGTTATCTCCGCCCCGCCCTCCGACATGCTGACTGAGCGTCTCTCTCTCTCTCTCTCTCTCTCTCTCTCTCTCTCCCACTCACTCACTCACGCGGGCACACACTGTGGTCTCATGAGGAAACGCTGCTTTTTGATATAGTGTTTTTCTTGCTCCCGAATACAAATCATTTTTCAAGTATTTGTTCGAATCAAGTATTCGTAAAAACACGCTATTCGTGCCTATCCGAATACCATATTCGGGTTCGGCTCCACCCTTAATATATATATATATATATATATATATATATATGTATTTATTTATTTTTTTTTGCTAATTAGCTTGAGATTAATATGAAAATGGATTCAAATGAGAGCTAAAGCAAAGATTATTTTGAAAACATTAGTTTTTTTTACCATAATGGCTCAAGGACATGCTGAAAAAAGTAAGCCCAGGTTGAAGGGTCTGACACCACGTGCTCAAGAAAGAAAAGTGCTCCTCCCTGAAAAACAAAAAAACCACAGTATCATTTGCATATCAACCCCAAGGTATACATTTTAATATTTTAAATTGTAATAAAACGATCTATTATTTAAGAACGCTCGGAAACAATAAACAGTGACATTTGCCCTACAGCAAACAACCGTTTGGAATGTTACGTAATGCTGTGACCTTTCCTCTCCTGTGAATGGATTTGACAGTAATCAATGTTGTAAATTCTAAATTGGGAGTTGGGAGTAATGATAAGAGGAGCATTTATGAAATGTAATAACATGCGTTTCACCTGTGCACAAATATCATAAACTCACAGGTCTCAGGACCCTCTTTGACTCTTGCAGAACTTTGTTGGTGTCTTTGACCGAGCACAGAACCAGAGTGCAAACCACAGCATCCACCGAGCTGTCCTCCACTGCCTGCAGATTCTCCCCCGACGCCACTATGAAGTTGTCGTACTCCAGGTGCTCGTTTTTCTCTATACTTTTCTCCAGGTATTTCTTGAAATGCGGGTTAGGGTCAGTGCAGGTGATCTTGGAGCCCGTCGGGTAGTGCTCAAAGTTCGCCCCTGATCCACAGCCCACCTCCAGGATGCGCAGAGAGCCTTCGGGGGGCTGAAATCGCTCCAGGTTTCGAAATAGTTCCCGTTTCTTGTCATTCATCTTGTTATTGTACCAGTCCGTGGCTTTATATTGAATCATAGGAAATACGCGTTTGAAGAAAGACAAAAGTCCGACATGCTCCGCGATGTACAACGGGAGAATGAGGACTTTAAACGAAAGAGCGCACGCGTCCATAAAACGCGACATTTTTATGAAAAACTACCAAACCTAAACAATGTTATATTTGAAAGAAAAAGATAGGCGTGGCTTACTGCGGGAACGTCATGTTCAGTTTCAAGTAGGACAGTCCCGCTATCTGAACTTTGAATTCCAGTGCGCGTCTACTCGGTATTGCGCGGTAGATTAAAGATGCGTGTGCGCTGCCGTCTCATCATTTATTTCCAGTTTTATTCGCATTTGATTTATCAAACTAGCACTATAAAAGCGTGTCATATTTATCGATATTCATGATTTTTCATGTATGTGTTAAATCCGTCTGTTTTTGCTATAATTATGTGTAATTTGCGGCTTTTACCACTGCATTATCATCAAAGCACATCATTATTCCATAATACATTGCATAGTTTGTTTATAATTGATTTTTTTTTTCAAAAACAAATACAACAAAAAGGTACAGAACTTACTGGGGGGGTACCTTTTTAAAAGGTACACCTTTTGTTCCTTAACCGTTTAACTACCCCATCTTGAAAAAAAATGTTTAGATTGCATTTTTAACTCCGAATACCACTAGTTAACACACTCAATTCGTTTTCCTGAAAATATGAAAGAACAATTTATGTTAAAAAAATATTCAAAATAAAACACTTTCGTATACTAATTCACCTTTTTTTTTTAAGTATGACAAAATATTTTCGATTCTTGTTTAACATTTTTAATAGTTGTGCAACAGGATGGTTGTTTGATTATTTTTTTGTAAACTAACAATGCTGTGTGTGTAAGCCATTATTTAAAACAGCCATTTAAATGACATTCACAGTCATTGAATAAAACAGTAAAAACATGGTCAACCGTTTGGTAGAGGGGCAGTCAAAGGGTTAAAGGGCCTCATGTGTACCTTAAATGTACATATTAATTCATAAAAATACAAATAGTTATCTCATAATACTGTAAAGATACAAGCGTGTACAAAATTGTAATTTTAAGGTACTAATGTGCAAATTTAAGGTATAAAATTGTACCCTTTAAAAAAATACCACTCCATTGAGAGGTTCTGCACCTTTATTTCTGAGTATAGGTTACAGTTGATCATTACACAATAACCCAGTGTTTTTAATTTTTCTAATTAAATGAATATAGATTAATTTGTGCTTGGGCTCTTGTATATCTGAAATAATATGGTGAGTGTATCATGTGTGTATATTTAAACTTACTTTCTGATACATTAACCAAAAAAGTAAAAAAAGTATATCTATTAATAGGACATTTAATAATGTGGAAGCGTATCATCTGCATCAGGAACAACAGGTGCGTAAAACTGCCTGGGTCATAAAACTGCTTAGATCTTGCAGATGCCCCACATTAACATATATATATATATATATATATATATATATATTAAATTAAGTTTTTATTTTATATTTTATGTGGATTTAAGACAACAAAATCCATATTTATATTGCCAGGATTGGGCAAAATATAGCCTATTGAAATTAATTTTAAAATAAAATACCTTAAGTTCAAGTGTATCAAAATAAACTACAAAATACAGCAGTCACAAACATGTCAAAATAAAATACAGCATTTTTAATACTACGAAATACTTTTAAAAAGGAGTATGACATATGACACCCCATTTTGAAAAAAAAATATTTTGATCCATTTCCAGTAAATATAGGCAATGTATTTGGGTGCAGTTGAACAAAACAGATTCATTAAACAGATATATTTATTAAAATAATATTTCCGTCACCAAATATATATAGAAATTCAAAGATAATACAATTAAATACAAAAAATTACAACCTACAACATTTCAACAAAAAATATCTTTTTTTTTTTGCTTCTCTTGATTTTTCCTTTTTAAATTCGTATTTAATATTTTTCTATAGCATATAAATTTGAGTGTTCTAGTTTTTGGAGCATTATCAAAAGTTATTTTGTTAGATAAGCTCCAGATTTGGCTTCAGTACTGACTAATCTAATGTATATGCACAAGTATAATATTGTGTAGCTTCCTACTAAAAATATGAATTTATAAGACTTTATAAGATTTGTGAGGGGTGTACTCGTATATGCTGAGCACTGTATGTTGTAATGAGTTCCCACAGCCACAAACAGCATAAAAATATCCGGTAATGATAAAATATTCTTTTCCAGGCATATAAAAAACTATTAATGCATTTTGTACTAAAAATACATTTGTCAAATTCAGTTGGAGCATCTAGAAATGACTTTTCATAAATAGAGCCTTTTTAATTGCATTTCTTAAATTTTATGTGAATAAAAATAAATTATTGAACCAAAATCAAACATAAAATAAGGAAATTCAGTGGCCAGGAAATCAAAATGTCAATCAAACTGTTAAAGGTGGACAATGCTTGTGGTGCTTTTAACTATTTTAGCTAGTACAGAAGAAGTTAAAATTAAGTTTATTTTTCTTAGTGATTCACCCTGACCACTAGATGGCAGTGTTGCTTTTTTAAACCATATTATCCCAATGCCTGTTTTATGATGAATGTCTTTCATTGGTTCACGTTTGTGTTTTTGTCGGCTTCAGTTATCATGCGTTTTGCAGACTCATGCAGCAAGATACAGTTTTATAAAATATACAATGCAATCTCTATTCATGGTAAACAAACTATATTCTATGGCATGTAACATTGCTCATAGAAAAACATTTAAAAGTGCATGGTGAAATGAATCAGGCTCACTAAACGAAAACACACTTAAGATTTTTTTTGTATGTTTGGCAGAATTCATATTACTATCGATTATTTGACGGCATAGCCAACGATGTGTGGTTTGATCATGAAAAACAGAGGAGCTTGAATGTGGCGAAGCTTCACATCTGAAAATCCTGCAGCGTCAATGTCCTTCCAAGTAGTACGGGTTGTTTCACAGCCATCGCCAAAAAAGTACCTGTCAAACATACCATTTATGGCGTTATATATGGTGATCATATGGTTTGTTATACTAGTATTCCATCATGTTTATTATATAGACACATGACCTTGGGTTAAATATGGAAGATCAAATATACTATGCGCTACATCCATGATTCAAAAAAAGTTGAGACCCTTTCTAAAGTGCAATGAAATAAATCATCTGTGATTTGTCACTTCTCTGTAACTCTTATTTATAGTACAAATAACAGTTTTCAAGAGCTTTAACTGACAAATGAAATGTATTTTTGATATGAATTGCTGCTATACCCTCCAAAAAGGTTAATAGTAGTTAAATTAACAGTTAAAAAAAGTGTAACCCCCTTTTCACTTTTATTTATCTTTAACTGAGTAATAACAATTGATTACATTTAATTACTATATGGTTAGGGTTAGAATGTGGTTTAGGTTTAGTTGCATGTAAATATGCATAATTACTTGTAATTACTATAGGAAGTACATAGAATCTATGACACAACCTATTACAATCAACATCAACACGGCTCAACAATAAGGACTGCTCGATGGCCCAGGGTCAGCATGAGAGACGCTCGGGACAGTAGACAGAATCGTTACTGGCCTGATCAGTGCTGCCTTGTCACTAAAGTTTCATTTTTCGAAACCTGGTAACAACCAGCACAGTGAAGAGACAGCAACATGGCGGCAACATCAAATTATGAGGCTAAAAGAAAACATTTGTTTCTAACGTCTTAGAAGCAGACATTTACATGGGTACAACATGACAACGAAAAAAATGAAGTGATGTTTTGCACTGTTTGCCGCCAGTTTTGCAAGTCAGCCACCTTGTTTTAAATAATTTAGAAGCGGCAATAAAATACCTGCACATTTTCCATACTGCTCTTTTTGTTTGCATGAGACTTTGAATTTAGCTCATTATAGATTTATTAACATTTTAAAAATAATAAAATTCTAGATTTATGGACATTATTTTTTGACACAATATTTAAAATATGTGGCTAAGGAATAGCTATTAACTTTTTTGTGTGTGGGGCAAGTGAAAATATTTACAGGCGAAGTAAAAATCTCAACAACTGGTCCGATCCGGCCAGTAGAAAAAAATCCTTAGCGTTGTTCCCTGATCAAGATGATGTCTTTAATAGGAAGTTAAATGTTATGAGTTGCATCATTTCTCATTCTGCATGAACTACAATTGCATGTTTTTGGGTTCGCGTGCTGGACTGACCCATTATGAATAGGAGAATCAGACAACGACCACAGAATGTTGTTTTTTGATTGTCAAATTTCATGGTAAAGCATGCTATTTCATGGTGGCGCAGCGGGTACCATGATCGCCTTACATCAAGAAGGTCGCTTGTTTGAGCCTCGGCTAGGTCATTTGCAATTACTGTGTGGAGTCTGCATGTTCTCCCTGTGTTCGTGTGGGTTTTCCCTGGGTGCTTCGCTTTACCCCACAGTCCAAACATATGCATTACAGGTGAATTGAACAAGCTAAATTGGCCATAGTGTATGTGTGTGAATGTGTGTACGAGTGTTTCCCAGTGTTGGGTTGCAACTGGAAGTCATCTGCTGCGTTAAACATATGCTGGATAAGTTGACGGTTAAATCCGCTGTGGCGACCCCTGATTAAGAAAGCGATTAAGCCGAAAAGAAAATGAACATGCTATTCATTTTTGAAGTTTGAGCAGCAATCTCAATTCACAGAATAAAATTATTTTTGGTTAATTAAAACTTTACAAATCATTTCTTTGTAATATTTTCAATTAAATGTAGGCCAAAGAGAATAAACAGATCAGATATTCTTGCCTTTATTGCACTGTACAAAATGACCCAACTCTGAATTGGTATTCAACTAAACCAGTCTAATCCTTTAACTACATTTTAAAAAGCTGTGATTTCAATTATGTCTCTCAATTAAAATCTATAATAGTGACTTTGTAAACAGTGTTTTGTATTACCAGAATGGCTGAAGAACATGTTGAAAAAAGTAAACCCAGGTTGAAGGGTCTGACACCACGTGCTCAAGAAAGAAAAACGCTCCTCCCTGAAAAACAAAACAATATTTATATTTCTCAACCCAATATTGTGCATTTGAATGTGTGCAGATCTATTTATTAAAAACACTTAGAAAAGACCACCTGTTTGCTGACATTTGCCCTAAAACAAACAGTGTGTTCTAATGGGATTATCAGAGCAAACGGTGAGTTGCGTAATGCTGTCACCTTTCCTCTCATATAGATTTGATTGTAATCATTACTCACTCTTTGTTGCAAATTGCTCTAGAGTAACGATAAGAGGAGCATTTATGAAATGTAATAACATGTATTTCACCTGTGCACAGGTTGTCATAAACTTACAGGCCTCAGGACCCTCTTTGCCTCCTGCAGAACTTTGTTGGTGTCTTTGACCGAGCACAGAACCAGAGTGCAAACCACAGCATCCACCGAGCTGTCCTCCACCGCCTGCAGATTCTCCCCCGACGCCACTATAAAGCTGTCGTACACCAGGTGCTCGTTCTTCTCCATACTTTTCTCCAGGTATTTCTTGAAATGCGGGTTGGGGTCTGTGCAGGTGATCTTGGAGCCCGTCGGGTAGTGCTCAAAGTTCGCCCCAGATCCGCAGCCCACTTCCAGAATGCGCAGAGAGCCTTTCGAGGGGTAAAATCGGTCCAGGTTTCGGAATAGTTCCCGTTTCTTGTCGTTCATTTTGTCATTGTACGAGAAGGAGATTTTATAGACAATGATAGGAAAGACGCGTTTGTAGAAAGACAAGAGTCCCGCCTGCTCCGCGATGTACATCGGGAGCACGACGAGTTTGCAGAAAAACGCGCACAAGTTCATAAACAGCGACATTTTTATATGACTATCAAATCTGAATCATGTTTGATAGACGAGAGAGGCGTCGTTTTGGACCTTGTGACAGTCAACCAATCAACATCTTCGACGCATGAATTGCATTACAGTCAAAGCAGTGCTCCAGTTCGTCGGCAGATGTCAGACTTGTATAAATAATTTCAGTGTTTACAGTGGGCTACTCATTTCCACTGTTTTAATTTTTTTCCTTCCTAAAAATGTAGGAATATTTTTATATATTGTTATAATTTAAACATGTGCTTAAAAATAAATGCACAAAAAATGCATTTAATTAATAAAATAATACCAAAACAACAAATGTACACTTTTTTTGTTGCACAAATTGAAAAACAAGCAGAAAATATAGTCAAATTACAAAACTGGAATAGTTTTAATCATCAAAACTAAGTGTTTTGTGAATGTTTGTTTTAATGTATAAAATACTTGAGATTCCCATTTACATTAACCTAAAATGTATATTATATACATATAAAGCATGTAAATCTGTATATTAATGTAAAAATGTAAGAATTACACATCAAATGTTTAAAAAAATCTAGCAAGACTTTGAATAAAAGCAGAAAACAAAGCAGAAATTACCATAAAACAACAACAACAAATATACACTTTTTTGCACAAATGAAAAAACAAGAAGGAAATATGGTCAAACCATAAAACTGGAATAATCTTGATCATCAAAACTAAGGGTTTTGTCAATGTTAATTTTAGTGTATAAAATACTTAGGATTCCCATTTAGATTAATTTAATTATAACTATTTAAAATGTGAAAATAACAACACATTTTTTAAAAGTCTTAGCCAATCTTTTAACAGAAGTAGACAATAAAGCAGAAATGACATTAAAAAACATAAACTTGAATTTATTTTGTAGAAACACAAGAAATGTTTACTGACAATTGGCTTAAAATTATTTTATATCCAGAAAATACACATAAAAAAACTAATTCAGTGCTAATAAATCACCCAGTGAAACTAAAATGGCATTGGCTAATAGCCTACCAAGCAAAAGCTTATTCTAAATGGAGAGGTCATCTCATTAGGTTTAATATGCTGAGTTCACATGGCCAGACGGACACTATGGTTTATCTTGGTAACCACATCAATTATCGGACCGTATAAGATCGTTGCCATATGAGCCATAGCAATAATACTTCAACAATTATCACAAACAAATAATACTGTGCACCTACAAACGTAACTATACATTTTATGTCTGATTACATCCTATTGTTCAAATGAATATGATTCATTGAATATGATATGAACTATTAAAATAATTGATTTATTGCATTTACTTTTATTATAACAGATTTATAACCATTCCTAATTTTTGTATAGCGCTTTGCTATCTTTCTATTCATCCTCCTGTCAGTTGCACTTATCCCTAATCAGGCCCTCCATAGTGACTGAGATTAGGATTGAGGATTTCTTACTTGAGATTAGGTTTACAGTAATATCTTAAACACTGTAAGCTCCTCTAAAACTTGCAATTGTATTAATCTTGGTTTGTTCTGCAGAAGGTGTGATCACGTGAAGATGCCTCTGTGTTCTGTCTGGCTTCTTTTTAAAGTGGCTTCAGTGAGCAAACACTGTCATGGCTGGTGGTGCATTGCACAGCAAGGCTTCGTCCACTTGAGGCTCATCAGCGAGGACTGGAAAAGATGCTCAAGTGGCCCAGAAGGGGGAGTTGATGTAGGCTGAAAGTCTAAAGCTGTTGTTTCCTTTCACCTCCTAACAGGATTAGAGGAAGATTAACTACTGCCCGCAACCTTTGACCACACAGTATCTGCTTCCATGACTGCACTCCCACAGGGCTTGAACCATATCCTTAAAAATGTAGGACGTTTTTACAACAGTGCCCTAGAAGTATTGTTTTTGGTTCTCTGAAGAACTTTATTTTTATTTATCTTTTATTCTCATGTGAAGGACAAATGTTTTATGCATATTAATGATTTCTCATTTAACCACACTAAGAGATTATTATTATTAATTATCAGGTTCTGTATATCTTTTGATAGATTTTTCTCATTTGTTTATGGCTATGATTTGCATTATGGGACTTTCTCAAGTTTTGATGTTGAAAATTCAACTCTCCAGTTTAACAATGTGACTTTTATTGACGTTTTAGGTGTTTGAAGCAATATAATGTATAATAAGTAATTTATATAGAAGTAAGGCTGTAAAATACAGAAAAACTGCTGACAGTTTTTTGTATCATTTCACATTAGGGCTGCACAATATATCGTTTCAACATCAATATCCCAATGTGTGCATTCGCAATAGTCACATCGCATAGATAGGCAATGTTGAGTTGGTCATATTTGAGCAAGTCTCAGTTCAGAAAATGAGATTTATGGAGTTCTTGCAGAGTTTAATCGTAATTAATTTTATAATTTGCATGTTTTTAAGGCTTGAGGTGTGTTCAGGCACAGGACATTTTACCAATTGGAAGATAAATAGGAAGTTTATTAAGGGGATATTAAAGAATAATCATATTAAATTATTTATACAATGAATGCATTGCAGTGTAATTTTTACATGTCTAAAACCACAAAACATGCACTGCTTATTTCACTTTATTCTTTGCTTTATTGAATTTTTCTATGATTGTTATTCATTTATCACGTCCATAGCCAGCTTATTGAGGGGTTGTAGTCTTTCAAAAGTGGAGCTTTTTGCAGTTATTCATCTCATTTTGTATTTAATTATGAGGTTTAAATTCTGCATTTTAGTGACATTTTAAGCACTAATCATTGCTGGATTAGCTTGTCACATGGTGATCATAACCACACCTTTTTGATGCAACAAAAATATTTTCCACATTTTTGTCAAAGTGCTTACCATACTATTTTACCACAAAGTGTTTATTTACAAATGTGCATTTAAACTGTAAAGTATTACAGTTTTATAAGTAATGTAATGAGATTATTAGACAAATTTTAAACAAAGATACATCAAAAAATGCTTATTTTTTAAAATATAAATTTATTATGATCCATCGTTTAAAACAAAAAACAATTAGGAATCTGTTTTAAACTTGTTTTATATCACCTAGACAAACAAAAAAAAGCTGGCCAGCTCATTTTCCCGGTCAGAATTTGTCCATTTGGATAATTAAAAATGTAATTTGTCTTAAAGCCGCCTTCTATTGCTTATTTTCACAATTTATGATGTCATACTGTGAAAAAGGTGATAAATGAGCTCATATAGCACCCAAATTCTGGACATTGTCAGTAAGGGGGGGTTGGTCTTTTGAACCACACAAACCCCCTCTGGCTACGGGCCTGTTTATTACATTTTATGCATGATTCACTCGTCCCAACAGAATAATATCAATCAATAAAGGTGAATACATTTGATAACACTTTATAGATGTATTCACATCAACTAGTTGCTTATTAGCATGCATGTTATTGAAATATTGGGTGCTTATTAATACTTAAAAACTATATTTTCCTGCATGATCTTATTCTACATCATACCCAATACCTAAAATACCTTAGTAATTATTGAGAAAGAGCAAATGAAAAACTTATTGAAGCAAAAGTCATAGTTAATGGTATGCTAATAACAAAAAGGAACCTCAAAATGAAGTGTGCCTAAATTCTTTCTAAATAGTGCCATTCAATCAATTCTTTAGATGCAGTGTATCACAAAATATCACTTTAAAAAAAAAAAACATTGCAATGTCACATTTTTCTAATTTTGTGTGTCCCTAATTCACATTATTAAAAATTATTAAATAAATTAAAAATTATTAAATAAATTTCATAATTCCTACATTTTTTATAGTGCATTAAAGCCAATTAAGAACCCTTCATTTCTAAGTCTAACTTAACAAATGCAAACAGTGCAGTTCTCCAAACATCAAAGATCCCATTGAAGCCTGGAATAGCTTTCTCAACTCATTGTAAACAAAACAAAGTTGACTCAACTTAAAATTTGAAGACTCAATTTTCAACCTAATTACTTCACTTGACTCGATTTAAGTTGACTAAACTAAAAATATCAATAATGTTTCAATAATTTCAATAATGTTAGTTTAGATTAATATATATTAACATAATATCTTTATGTCATAAAATCTTTGTCATGCATTTATGTAGTTAATATAATATAATATAATATAATATAATATAATATAATATAATATAATATAATATAATATAATATAATACAATACAATACAATACAATATAATATAAATAATATAATATAATAAACTGTTTTAGCTTTAAGTTAATACTTAATGAGTTAATAATAATAATAATAATAATAATAATAATAATAATAATAATAATGATGATGATGATGATGACAAACTGTAATTTGCATATGTGGTCATATGCTGCTTAATTAATGCAGAAACTAATATTTTAGGCTTTTTGTATGAAAACCTGGCAGATCATTAAAGACTTCTTTATTCAAACAAAATGTCTTTAATTAACCCTTTACAAATTTGAGACGATTTAACCATTTTTGAGACATAAATGAGAAGATTAGTTGAAATTTCTAAAGGAGGGGTAAGTATAATTAGACTCGCAACATTGGGATTGATACTGCCTTTTAGCGCTGTTTCGCTTACGTTGCAGCGTTTGCTCGGTCAGTACGGAAGTCGGAAGTAGGGTACTTGCAGACGCTCCCTAACAATTTGCTGAGAGTCATCAATTATGCAGGCTAGCCGTACGCACTGGGAAGGAAGATAGCGGCAACAATATGGCGACATCCGCAGTTTCTCCTGGGTCTTTTAAACATCCTTAGGCACGCGAGATCTACATGGATCGCTCTTAATGCGGAAAAAGTGAGTAGACTTTTTGTTGTCTACAGCGCAAGTATTGTGTTTTTTTTCAGGTGTTTATAGCCCGTTGTGAGCGTGTCTCATACCTGGACTCATCTGCCGCAGAGCGGTCTCTCGCGCTCAGCATCTTTTCTGCTCACAGATGTGGATGGGCTTACTGCAGGAAACGCTGGAAAACAAGCCAGCGCTACTAACAGCAACTGTACTGCTTAAACAGAGGGCATGCT